TAGATAGAGATATAGATATAGATATATAGATAAGCACACAGGTAGTAAATAAAATATGCATGGAGTAGACCTATATACTTACTCTCAACAGGTTTTTGACTCTCCTCACCCTCTGTCTCGGCAAGTTCAATAGACAAACGCTTATTTTCTTCTTGTAACCTGCGGATTGTTTGCATTAACTCGGTTGTCTCCAACTTCCATGACTCCTCCATCTGCTCCATCTCCTGATATTCACCAAATTTGCACACACATTATTACTACACAGTATAAATCTGCTTTCAAGGAGAGTTGATGTTACTAAAACAACACATTTACAATTTGTACTAACAACGATTAACCAAATAAGCATCGCTTGCCTAATCACAATATTGTTTCAATCTGCAGGGGTGTTGCATACTTTTAATAAAATATTATGGTTTATGGTGATGAGAAATTTGTTCACCAACAGACCTTTCATAGGATTAGTATTATTCTATTATGACTAAAATCTTTCTGACCCTTAGGTTTTCACGTACGGTTGTTTACATTCGCTTAAACAATAAACTAAACGAATCCTGGTTATATTTTATTCGGGTTTTAACAATAACAACCCTGAAAACATAACAATAACAATAAAGTCGTATGAAAAAGGAAATAAACTAAAACGTCCGTTTTGATACCACACACAAGTTAAAAAGGTCGCTATGCTAACCATTTCGTATTTCAACCTTTCGGCGATCTTGTCAACTTTCTCCGACTCCAACTTCTGAACAGTTATCTGTAATTCACCGATTTGTGCATTTTCCCGTTCGTTTCTTTGCGCCAACGCCTCCAACTGTTCCAACACACGGATCACTTTAGGCATAAGGTCTGTGATCGCTTCCGAGCCATACAACTCTATTATCTTCTCAAACTCTTTGCCAATAGCAGCTGCTGACTCGTATACATCGACCACCGTGATATCGGCAACGTTTTCAAAATCCATTATGGGAAATAATGACTTAAATCGTACGAAAATCTTGAAACAGCACTATACCAGGAAGAATTATCAACCTCTTGCGCAACAAGTGAGCAGTCGCTAACAGCGCCACAGTACGATGAAGACACGACACAACTGAAGTCTAGGCCGTAGTCTGAGTGCAGGAAAATACGCTTGGAAAATACGCTATCTAAATAATAACCTCATAAATCTTAGTATTCAAAGGTCCTAGGGACTATAACGAAAACGAGATAATCTGCTAGTAAATACATGAACAGCATTGTATACATTGTATTTACAATGTTACATAATGTTACACATTGAGGCTGTGGGTTGAGTCCACTGATCTCTATATTGTATTATATTGTATTATATTGTATTATATTGTATTATATTATATCTCTATATAGTATTATACTTCTTCTTCTTCTTCTTCTTCTTCTTCTTCTTCTTCTTCTTCTTCTTCTTCTTCTTCTTCTTCTTCTTCTCGGGTCACTACACTACACTCGGCCCAGTCACTGCAGCACACAAGACTTGGCACGGTGGTTGAAAGCCTCAAGGTCTCCAGGGCCTTAATTATAGTATATAGTATCAGGAGCGTATAATGACAAATATGTCATTATACGCTCCTGATAGTATATATATAGTATTATAGTATATTATATTATAGTATTATACTAACCTAGTATAATAAGTTAGTATAATAGAGAGATCAGTGGTTGAGTCTCCCGACGTGTTATGTTATTATATATGAAGATTATTGAATTAATTATAAACAAAATACTCAATTCTTTCACCTACTCAATTGTATTTACACGAACGTAGTACGGGTCGCTTCGCTAAGAAGTCGTAAGAAGTATCAGCGATTGGCTGTTTGGCCTTGTGTACGTGTTATAATAGACGCTGGGTTTACACTATCTATTATCAGTTTAAAAGTTGACGAGTTGATGTACTTTTCAACGTTCTATCAACCTTTCTATACGATAAGCATTCTCTACAACGAGCATTTACATAATCGGCCGCGGGTCGGCAAACGTTTCAACATTTCACCCGTAGTGTGCGCGCGGGGCGATGTGGATATATACGCATTTTTTCATGTAATATGCAAGGGTTGCACCAGGTGTAGCCCGTGTAGCGCCGATATTGATGTTATAGGGAGAACGGCAAACGTGTTTTAGGTCGGGCGTTTCTAGGGGCATTGTGAAATAGAGGTAGGACGCGGTCTGGGAGAACCGGTGACATGTGCGCTCATGATGTAGGGGTTTTGGGGGTAATATATAGAAGAGAGATGAGAGAGACGGGTAAAGAACAGAGATGTAGGAGTGGGGGAGCAGGGGCGTGTACAGGGAGGGGGGGGGGTCCAGGGCTGAAAACGCATCTGAGGGGGTCTAATTTCAAAAAATTTCTGGACCCCCCCCTTCGCGTGCTCGCAAGTTTGGGTTACGGTTAGACCCCCTCCTGGTCAAAATCCTGTACACGCCCCTGGGGAGTCTGGTTGTGGTCGCGTGAGTAAGCACACCCGCTTACGCGCGTGTGCGCGTTTCTTTGGCTCTCTGTGCAAGATGTGACTACACTGTGTGTAAGATATTAAAGTTTATTCAGTTTAATACACAAGTTTTGGCTTACTTCATCATTTATAGAAACTCAAACATAATTCAACGTTACAATTGGATAACTACCTAAATAACTAAGCAGTTGCGCGCGAAACTTTTACGTTTACGCTGTCGATTTTCGGTCGAATAATTAAACAATTTATCAAATTCGTAAATTTTCCAGCAAAAAGTTGATAGTGCAAACCCAGCTAGACATGCAGCTTGTGGACAGCTAACTGGTGTAACTATATATTAGCTAGTAGACAGACTGCGCGGTTAGTATTTCAGCCAATAAGAAAAAAGAATAAGCGTCTAGAGAGCGAAAAGCGAGGAAGATGCTTGCTTGGTTTTTTGGTTACCAAATTTGGTAATTATGTGGGAAAACTACGTGGTGTGAAGGAAACAGAGACGACCTAGCTGTTTAAGAGCTCATATAAGAGCGAGTGCGCGTGTAGATAAGACATAATTGAGTACTTCAGAGAGCAGAGAGTAGACAGAATGAACCGGTCGAGTATTAGTTATGCTCGAGCTTGAAATATTGTCTATGCGTAAATATCATTGTGCGGTATTTCTGTCTTATTATCGTATTCTTGAGTAAACCTTGTGAATTCCCCTGCGTAGTTGTGGCTTCCCGACTACAATATACATAATCATGGGGTGTCAATTCCGTGCATCTATCTAGTGATAAGAGCTAGACCACAACGTTAATAAAAATGAATCACAATGCTATCTATTCAGCAAATCATTTCTAAGCGCGCTTTTTGATATTGTATGTAATTATTTCTATTGTAACATTGTAAGATATGCAACGGTATCGTCGACGCGTTCCATGGCGAAAAAAGAATCAACATTTTGATGACTCGATTTAAAATGTATATAAAATGTATGGGGTTTCCAAATACGTGTATAAATGCACTTTTCAAAACGGGTATGCAAAATATTTTCACCTCACGTTGGATGTGTAGTAATCTCTGTAGTACTGACGTGAGTCAGCGCTACCATGGCAATTATAATCCTTCTTGCAAACATTACAAACGAGGACTTAATTCCGAGTATTTCGAAAGTAAGATGTGATAGACACTTCCAATATCCATCTACTCGGGAATAACTTCTCTCGGCGCACAACGACGTATGGAGCTTGTTTTTGAGTCTATGATAGCTCAAGTGAAGCGTCTTGGGTTTGTAAACGCAATGGTATTACAGCGGCGTAAAAATAATACAGTACCATCACTGCCGTTTCATTTGTCAATTCCACATATGTATAATGTCAATATGATACGTGTTTACGTTTGAGCTTACATTTGTAAATTGTGCGCTCCTAGTTTATATTTCTACACTGAATGCTGCTATTTCTTATTGTTTCTGTGACAACATTTCAATGGCAGAATTTACCTGATTTTTCATATATTTGTATAGAAACTATTTTTAGGTTACAGTTATCTTTATTGAAAACCTTAACAATAATCAAGACATTAACGGCGTACGATAGCAAGTAACCAGACTAAACATTGTACATCGCCATTAGATGCCTTAATTTATTATAATCATGAGCAATAATGATTCCTAGTAATGATAGATAACAGTAATAGCAATAATATGCATCAAGCTGGTGTGCATTAAGGAAACTATATATCATTACATTTTCTATACAAATACAACTTTTTAGGACTAAGAAAAATCTAGGCGGAGTCTTCCCTTGCACTAGTAGCAATTTCCACATGAAAAGTTTCACAATTAAATATTTTATGATTATAAAAATATTGAATCAAACACGCAAACAAATAACCCGAGTGAACACACTAAAATTATTATGATACTGTACTACTATTAATGTATGGAAGGGATTTATATAATAATACTAATAAAATATGTTCAGGCTGCCTGATACAAACACTGCTAGAGACAAAATCAACTAAATACAAAAAAAACAAGTACAATTATACATCTCAATACCAATTACAGATACTGTGTATTAATGAGACTATCTGCATGTTTTTTATACAAAATATACATACACAATACACAAGTCAATTATAGTAATTATTGTTCCCAGATATAGGGTGTTTTTCTTGTCTATGACAATGGCTACTCGTTTGCAAGGAATTTCTCAGCAAATTGGCTTAAAAACTTCTTGTGTGGATGGAGGGAGACCAAGTAGATAGATTTAGTATCACTCTGCTCAACTCATCACAAAAGAGGTTGCTCAGAGCTGTGTAGTGTGGTAGTGATTATTACCAGTGTTATATAGTAATATGTTTAATACTGGTAATACCCACCACAGATGGAGCCACCGTCTGCAGCATGGCTGATCTTAGGGCGCGTTTGTTTGAGACCAATCCGTCTGATCGAGATCATATGACCCTGATCCGACCAAACAAACGCAAAACTCACTTTCACCGGTTCACGTTTCGCTGTGACCTATCACGGGATGGTTCATAACAAAGAACAAGCTGTGATTGGCTGAGGTACGGGCCGCCATATTGGATCCCTTTCGAATCCACCTCGCCAGCAGGGTCGTGTTCGGTGGATCGAGATCAAGTGATCCGACCAAACAAACAGTCAGATCAACGAATCCATCAGATCGAGATCAGTAGATCCGACCAAACAAACGCGCCCTTAAGAAGAGTATCTAATAAACAAGTAGTCTCATCTATCAAGCCAGTTTCTCTCTTTGATTGCTCACACATCGCACAGCTCGCCTCACGCTGACAAGTCAGTACTTTCGTGGTGACACACTCCTGTCCCTGCTGCAATAAATACACAACAAAATCACATTTTTGCGTGTTAGCAACATGTTAATTACACAGTTTATAAATAGTGGTTGCCATGGAAATATTTAGCTTCACTAACACGAGGAAAGGAAACAAAAAGAAGGGACGTATAATGAGATTAGACATCAGAATTATTATAAGGACAAAGGCGTAGTAGTAAATTCATTCACTTTTACCACGGTTGGAGAGGAAGAGGTACTAAGAGTGCTTAAAAATATTAATACAGGTAAAACTACTGGGTTAGATAATATTCCTGCAAAATTTATAAACGATGGATCAAATATTATTTTCTCAGCTGTTACTCATGTAATCAACATGACATTTATCCAAGGTCATCCCAATACATAAAAAAACAGCAAAACAGAACCCAGAAACCATAGGCCTGTGTCAATAATAAGCGTCATGTCCAAAGTTTTGGAGAGAATAGCCTAGTATACCCAAGTAGAGAAATATTTAATACAAAATTCCTTACTATACGAGTTCCAATCTGGCTTTAGATCAAATTTCTCAACTGACACGAGTTTAATCCATCTAACTGATTTCATTCGTAATGAAACTGACAAAGGAAATCTAACTGGAATGGTTGTTCCTTGAGAGAAATTCTCAAATGACCAGCAGGTGCAATCACCATATTTAAATTATTGCCATTAAAACAACAGTGTAGCAAACAAAGTAGCATCAGAAAATTGTTTATCACAACTTCATGAAAGCAAGCATTTTTATCTGATAAAATTTACAGCAAAATGTAGCCATGATATTCTGATAATTAAATACCAACGAATTGCAAGATGTTCAGTGAGTAAATACTCCTAATCTAAATAACCGTTGAAACATGATGCGCATCACCATGCTCAGTAGTTATGTAGGCATAGCCATGCACAAATGACGTTTGAAAACAATGAGGAAAGTCATTGTGAGGAAGTGCAGTTTTTGGTGTGCATTAAACAGGCTCTATGAAATTTTGGGTGGGTGGATGGGTCCAATTTACCTGCTACGGCTGTGTCGTCTACTCGGACGATGTCGCACCGGACTTTTGCTCCCACTGCGACTGTGTGAACTGCAATCAATCAAATTTTGCATAAAAAAACGTCTGTCACTCAAATGTTAAAGATTATATCATACATCACAATTGCTCAACATGATGAGGTTTTTACTCATGGTATCCGTCAACCTGTATAAAATTGTGAATTTGTGACAATTAATTATGTAGTATACACATTCAATAACTTTATATTGTAGACACAGTATTTAATTGATCTAAACCAAGAATGAGCACACCATTTAGTTACTAAAATGTCTCACTTTAAATTATACAGAATTGATTCAAATTAAACAGTCTTGTAGATTCAATCACTGTTTTAAACTCTGGAATCATATCTGTGAAACATTTTTGTGTTGATAATTAAAAGTATTATTGGTTATAGGGTGTTACTTAATTAAAACCACCACAACTATGTGCAAGAGTTTCTTACTGCTTTTCATGCACCTACCTATGCCACAGTACTGGCTGCTGACACCACCATCTGCCCATACCACGTGAATGTCGCACCAATACCATTCGCAGTGTCACGGCACTGACCAACCATTACCATTAACCCGGCTCGAAATCACTCCTGTTGCTGTGCTCACACCGTATGGGGGTCACTAACCATGGTCTACCCCATATACATCACATCACACCACAACCATACACAGCCTGGCAGGATCAAAGGCACAATAAGAAAATTGACAATTTCACATTCATCGTAGCACGGTCACCTTCACCTGAAACACGCTATCAATAATTTGCTACACATAAGTACATGTGTACAGAATGGTAGACAGAATTGTATCCACATTGCAAATTACGCATCAAGCAAACAAAATATAACTGCTATTAGTTTGCTAAGAACATAAACTTGTATGATTTAAGTTAATGTATATGTAAACTAGGACTGCTTATGAAATGCTGACTGCTATATGCATCCCCAGTAAACGTGTCAATAAACCCTTTAGAAATTGACATCAGGGAGGTCTCGTTTTATTCGCAAGCAATTGGTTAGTAAGTGAATTTTAATTTAGGAAAATTACGTGCTTACATTCTATTTATTATTAACTATATCTAGTAAGAATTAACAATGCAAGAAAGCTATAGAAATGTTAATTTTACTATCACTAGGTAGTTCCTATAAATTTCATCATTGTCCAAAAGGATTATCTTAGTAGACTACTAATAGAGCTACAAAGTAGAGCATATCTAATCTACCAGAAATAGTCCCCCATTCTCCATTTATTGAGTGTGTTCTATCATAATAATAGTCATTTACAATCAGTGGCTCCCCCAAAAAAACATGAGTAAGTCATAGTTTTAAGAAAGTAAAGTATTTAAAAATACTTTAAAAAAGTTTTGAATCAGACTTGTGGTTTCCATCATTCCTTATTCCATTCCTGCATATTGTTTATAAAATATCCATATAACCACACTTATCTGCCACCAGACAATTAGCCCTCAAATAACCACTGGTCATAGCCTATATTGCTGTTTCCAGCATATGACACAATCTCAGATAACCTGTTACATATCTTCAGGAGTTAATAAAGACAAATTAATTTGTCTTTATTAACTCCTGGTATCTTACCACTATTCCTGCTTTTTAACTGTGTGAAAGCTTCATTTTCTGCCATATCTTACTTAACTGTGTACAACTAAAACTAATTTAGTTGTCACATTCGTTTCAGTCGAAGGTTAGCTGTCCCATACATTACGATTACATCTGTTATTGCGAGTTATTTCTGTAAGCCATCAAATATGCCTTGTTTTACATGTCAATAGTGATGCCATTTGCTATATCAGCATGACACAGTCATTCTTAGATAATTGTTTACTTGTATAAAGTCTTTTGCTTACACTTCTGCTTGGAAAACAACTTGAGGTTAAATAAAGCAGAGTTGCTTGTACCCCTGTCCCAGCCACTGATTGTACATATTTAGCGTCATGTGTGCTTTGATAAGTCAAACAACAAATCGCAGTGCATGATGAATGGCTCACAAATAAAACGTACTTTTCTCGTCGGTATCCCCAGACACGGTCACAGTTTCTGGCAAAGTGTCCCCGCCCTCCACACTGGTAGCAGCGCATGTTTGGGTCATAGCCTCGACGGCGACCATCTCCTAATCCCCGTGTACGCGGCCGTGCCATTGTCACACGAACTTTGCTGCCACACAGAGTTCTGATCAGAATAGAAATTGCATTGGGATTAGTGCAAGGAAACCACACATGGTCACATAACATTAAAACTGTAAACTAATATGAAAACAATTTTAGTACTAAGTTAGCAACCAATAATACAATTCTTTTTATATTATACGACCGTTCAAAGATGGGCATAACCTCAACTCTATTCCTAACTATAATATAAAATTTAATAGTGAATGTCATGGTACCCAATATAGGCACTAGCTCAATGGTTATTGCTTGACTGCATGGCCACAGCAATTAGCACTGCCTAACAATAATTCCGCTTAGTATTAACCAAATGTGATGCAAATGACTCATGTTATAAAGTACATGCCTTAATGACAACAAAAATTGTACCCACGTGTTGTCCAATGCCCTTACGGCTTCCTCGGCTTCATATTTCTTTTTAAAAACCACAAAGGCAAAACATGGAGGGTTTCGTGCCAACCACACTTCTGCAATATACAACATAGAACACAATCATCTGCTAAAAATTCACAACAAAATGACTCTACGATAAAGCGCAAATCTAGTCATTTTAAAGTCGCCTAAATCTATGGAAAGATAAGATGATCTTCACAGCAACTCATACTTCAGAGTAGTCTAGCTAACACAACACATCAAATATCCCAAAACACATGTGAAATAACCATTGAAGCCCTGAAGAAATCCAATTGGACAGAATGTATGTAACTGGTCCAAAAATTTGTTCTGAAACTTCCACATACCAGCTACTAATCCGTATTTCTCAAATGCTTTTGTTATCTCTGTCTTAGAGCAGTCAATGCCGAGGTCAGCCACGTGGACCCTCACTCCATCTGCCGATGCCTCCTGACTGTGGGAGCGAGAACGGGAACGGCTCCTGCTGCGTGACCGGTACGATGATCTTCGTGGCGGACTGCGAGACCTTGACCTCGATAAACTGCTACGACCCATCGCTTCTAGATTCTTTCCCCGACCTTTGATAATTCTGGCATAACTGAAAATGAATTACATAGAATTTTGGGTGCAAATACACTTTACATAACTTGTGTATCATGAGCGATGCACAGAATTATATGTATAACGAAATGATGCATAATAAGTTAACTAACATAATATCAGAAGTAGATAATAGGGAAGGAGTGTGACTTCAATAAACATGGGAAATTCGTCATTTACTAGCCTTAGAATACCTACGATTTACTACGCGTACAACTCAACCAACTTGAGCTCAAATTGTACACAGTACATTCGCCTAGCATCGTGCAAAATCGTTTCCTCGTATACACCCGCAATCCGGAGATACAGACTAAAACGTACGACACGATTCTCCATTCTGTTGCCAGCAAACCAAATCCATAACCCGCCTAACTTGAAACAATAGGCAGCTACTAACGACTCTTGTGCACTCTTGTGCCCTCGGCGATGCGGTGTGGCTCGCTGGGAGATTGGACATCGACGTAACACTTGGCGAGCTAATCTTTGACCTATTTACAGCTGGTATGCCCCCACGCACGCACGCCCACCGCAATCAGTAGCAGCTCCAGCTCCAATCTCCCAGCGAGCCACACCGCATCGCCGAGAGCACAAGAGTGTGCAAGAGTCGTTAGTAGCTGCCTATTGTTTCAAGTTAGGTGGGTTATAGATTCGGTTTGCTGGCAACAGAATGGAGAATCGTGTCGTACGTTTTAGTCTGTATCTCTGGATTGCGGGTGTATACAAGGAAACAATTTCGCACGATGCTAGGCAAATGTACTGTGTACGACTATGTCAGATGAGCTAAAAATGCAATGCGGTACAATTACTCATGTACTTGCTCCCATTACATTATGGCGGAGTGGGACGTCTCCTGCAAAAATTCACCATATATCTCTGGGTAAAGTAGGCAGTACCAATTGGCAAATTGCATAGTTATATTATAATTCGAACAATTGAACATTTCGCTACGCACAGATACCAAAATGGAGGCGGTTGGTTGTGTATTTTTCTCGGTGATTGTGTGATACGAAGCGAACGTCGTGTGAATTTTTGCAGACACGCTTTTCCACCCACTCTAGTATAACTATAACTAGTATAATATTATTATTAATATTAATAAGTATAATTTTGTTGTTTGTGCTCAGCAGCGTCCGTGTGGTGAACTTGTCTTGTCTTGTAGAGCAGTTGAACGGAATTTACAGAAAGTTATTACTAATCTACATCTACAAGTTATCTTGAAAAGGGTCGTAGACCCATCACTGAAGTTGTCAGTGGTGACCGAGTCACGCAGAGTCAGAGTACAGTACGCACGCGGCACAGTACTCAGAGTCAGTAGGCTACACCGCCGCTAACGCTAGAGCGCAGTATCTTCAAGATAATCTTGTAAGCGCCAGCTAAAAAAAACATGTAACATACGCTATATGTAAACACCATTAGCTAAAACACAGTAACATAGCAAAGGTAACAGGAAATGTTGCAGAAAACTTACAAATCCGCCGATATGCTAAAACTAAATGTCAACATAGGCCAGTTGTGTATGTGCTGTGGGCTGTGGTGTGTGTGTGAGGTGGGTGTGTGTTGTGGTGGTTGTTTAGGTGTGATGTGTGAGGGGTTAGGTTAGGCGTTAGGTCAGGAATACGGGGGTGATAGGGTTAGGGTTAGAGGGCGTTAGGAGTAAGGCTTAGGGTTTAGGCGTTAGGGATTTACGGATTAGGGTGAGGGATAGGTCAGGGTAGAGGGGGGGCGGGGTGTAGGGTAGCGGTTAGCATGAATTAGGGTTAGGGATAGGTTAGGATACGGTTAAGGGTTAGGGTCAGGGTAGGATGAGGTTAGGGATAGGGTCGGGTACGGTTAGGGTTAGGTTAGGGGTGTAGGGTTAGGGGTAGGGTTTAGGTAAGGGTTAGGGTGTAGGGGTCAGGGTAGGGGTGAAAGGGTACGTATGGGATAGGGTTAGGGGTAGGATTAGGATACGGGTTGAAAGGTTAGGGTTAGGGGTTAGGGTTAGGCGTTATGGTGTGTACGGGGTGTAAGTAGGGTTAGGGGTAGGCAGTTCAGGGTCAGGCGGGTAGGGTACGGGTTACGGGTTAACGGTACGGTCTAGTATAGGTTAGGGCAGGGGTCTAGGGTTAGGCGGTTAGGATCTTAGAGGTTATGGAGTCGTCAGGGGACTAGGGGTTACGAGTCGCGGGAGCAGGAGTTAGGGTAAGGTGAGGTTACCTATCATATTCTCGATATATACATAGTATAAGATAATATATACTTATATACAGAATATATGGTCTACGTCTGTTATATACATATATATATGAAATCAAGTATAACTCTAATAAGGGTATAGCGTCCGCGGGGATAAGGTTAGGGCTCCGGGATAGGGTCGTAGGTCCCGGGTTGGCTGGCCAGCTGGAGGGGGAGGAGTTAGGGTTAGGGTTAGGTTAGCCGTTGGACGTTAGGGTCAGGATAGGGTTTCTGACGTTAGGCGTTAGGGAGTCACGGAGTAGGGTTAGGGTTAGCGGTGGCGGTTAAGGTCCGCGGATACGGTTAAGGGTCTCTCCGTGGAAGGTTAGGGTCCGGAGAGGGATTAGTGCCCAGAGATAGATATAGCGATAGAGAGGTAGGAGGCAAGGAGAGAGGGAGAAAGAGAGGAGAGAGAGAAAGAGAGAGAGAGAGAAGAGAGACGAGAGAGAGAGAGAGAGAGAGAGGAGAGAAGCGTGCTGCGTGGTGTGTGTGGTGTCGTGTGTGTGCAGAGAAGAGATCAGCGATAATAGGAGAGTAGAGCGCACGTACGTGTGTTGTGGTATACAACGAGAGAGAAGAGAGAGAGAGAAGAAGAGACTGTAGGTAAGCCGCCGGAGAAAGTGCAAAGATAGCGAGAAGAGAGAGATAAGCAGGAGAGAAGGGAAGAAGATAGATAAGCGAGAAGAGAGGGGAAGAGAGAGGAGTAAAGAGAGAGAGAGAAAGGAGACGACGAGAGAGAGAGAGAGAGAGAGGAAGAGACAGCGCTG